TTTTCATGGTAGTTTCCTTCGGAAATCAATACTAAATGTTGGCCTCCCATCGACAGTTTCTCGATAGAGTTGCTATCATGCCTAATCTAGCTTAACTCAATGCTATCTTGGCTTATGACTCTGCGCACGTAACGATAGACTGATTTTTGATGAAGGCTGTCAAATACTTTTACTATTTTGCTTCTGTTGCCTTCACAACTGAGTAGGACAGATAGTCGATACACGCGAACTTTGGTCGAGGCGAAGTGTTGATGAAGAATGCCTTACTAGTCAGATTTGTAGTACCCTCGACATGTTGCAGGTGCCAACATTTCTAAGGGATGCTTTCTCCTCGCCAGAAATACAGTTCGAAAATACTTTGGTTTTCTATGCGTTGGCGTTTTAAGTGACTAGCTTAATGCTCCTATTTATCTCCTAACAGGGTCATGTGGTCAGTCTAGTCGACGACGGTCAGCTGACGTTCGGCTGCAAAACATGAAGTCATCCAAACCGTGTGCAGACTTTTTGAGAATCCAACTACTCGTATGGCTAGACAGGATAGATGATGGAACGAAACTTTCTGGAACACCGAGTCAAATATTGAAAGAGCGGGAGAGGATAATTACCCAATAATATAATAACACCTTGCTCACAACAGTGTTTTTTACCTTCATACTATCTTACTTAACGAACCGTCACGGAGACCTAGCTTACATGAATTGAGGGACTACTGTAAAATCAACAAAACCGATGGCAGCTAATGAGGTGAATGTTTGCATATCCCTGCCGACGAGGAAGCCTTTCAACTAGTTCTCGCAGCAGGAAGTAGGTCCCTTGAAGAATCTGGTCTGTAGATGGTGCTGCCGCATTCACAGTTAATACAAAAATGTCTAGACGACAACGCAACTGTTCTGAAAGATGGCGCGTGATGCCTGAGTTCAGTTCTTTCAAGTTCGTTTACACTCGTATAATCACCATTATCGACCACTCTAGACGGCAGTGCGCATAACTTTTTTATCTATAAACCTATCTGAAAGTAGCATTTTGGCGTACGTTTTGAGACGTGGACATACGATCCTTTATGGTCCCGGCTGCTTTTTGCATTGCGCTGGGGTGACAACAAATGCCCAAAGTGCACATCGCCGAAGTTGTTCTCGCAGCATCTATTTTGATCTATAGCATATATGCTACTTACAATAAGTGAGTAGCTGTTATCTATAGGCTTCTTTAAGTGACTAGCAGCTGCCTCCTTGTCGCATACAGTTGCTAGACAGCGTTTTCAATCAATAGGAACTTCACAGGTGCTTGTCTATCGTTTCCCTACAGTAAAATACCAAACTTGTCTAATCCGTAACTTTTTTGGGTATTTGTTTTTCAGACATGCTTGCTGCAGGGCCTTCTGGGTCGAAATTTGCGCGGTCTGGATGGTTGCGGTATCGGTGGGATGGCGCATCGCACCTCCAACTGGGCCGCCGCCACAGGCATTCCCGTCTATAGCCAACCGCGTACCCTCGTCCTGCACGAGATCAATGCCACCAATGGCGAACAGATGAGTGCCTCGGAGGCCTTGTCTGCCGACGTGGCCTGTCTCGTCTATGATGTCACGGACCCGGAGTCTTTCCGTTACATAGCCAATCTTTACCTGGTACCTTCTCGCTCTACTCTTTTTCGTCTGTCATGTGTGTGTGTGTGAACCTGTATTGGCCGCAGTATGGCCTAGA